TACTTGACGTGAGAACATGATATTCTTGATTCAATACTTTTTCGAGACTTGGCGCATGTAAAACAGTTCGTTTGAAACAGTAAGATATTTACTTATGTCAAACCCATATTTTCTTATTTCAATAACTTTGATCAATGCTCAAAATTACTTGACACAAGAAAATAAATTTCTTCCAATAAGAAAATATGGGTTTGTTTCAAATAAATCAGATCAAGAAAATGCATTTACTTGATTCAATGAACTTTTTTTTCAGTGTAGCATGGTGATTTCTACACGGGATGTGAAAACTGTCATTTAAATAATCAAAGTCATATGCTTACTTCATTTGTAATGATTATGGCAAATATACCTACCTTTTATCTTTTATCAAATACTTTTATCTTCAAACGAAACGCTTTAAAAGTAATTTATTAACCTATTACACTTCATTTGTTATATTTTTTGTTATGCAGAAAGCGCAGTAATAATAAGTTATTCTATTTAACAGTTCCTTAGTAACAGTTAAATTAAATGTTTTTTTTTGCATTTATAGTTTGAAAATTTTTTAATCTTAATTAATGTAGGAGAGAGTGGGGCAAACTGGCCAGGTGTCAATATCTCCGAAATGGCGAAATTGTCAAAAGTGCTATTTAGAAATTTGAAACAACCATGTGTAGTGTACCTTATTTTTTCAATTTGACATTTTTTACTTTTGTTTGCGCAACGCTGGAAGCAAAAGTTTTTTTCAGTCCCGTTATACACTTTTACGAACTTGTTCTTAACCCCTTCAGTGTGTAGCTAAAATATAACAAAATGGTCCCAAAATGTGTAAGACCTTCTTGTAAATAAATTTTCATGACAATAGGTACTAAGGGGTTTTTGGGGTCGCTGATTACGATTCCGGTGTTAGTTTTCAAAAATTCAAAATGGCGGATCCAAAATGGCGGACACGATTTTGAAAAATTCATTGGATTCGCTTAAAAATCGTTACTCGGGGATTTTCGGGGTCGCTGATTACGAATCTGTTATTAGCTTTTCAAAGTTTAAATGGTAAGAATTATTAAAAGAATTTATCCACTTTTAAAATTTTTCAAAATTTTTGGCGACCATTTTGGATGAAAAATTATTTGTTTTTAAAATCTTACTTCAGATTCGTGATCAGCGACCCCAAAAACCCCGAGTAAAAATTTTTAAAAGAATTTATCCACTTTTGAAATTTTTCAAAATTTTTGGCGGCCATTTTGGATGGAAAATGATTTATTTTGAAAATCTGACTTCAGAATCGTGATCAGCGACTCCAAAAACCTCCGAGTAAGAATTTCTAAAAGAATTTATCCACTTTTGAAATTTTTCAAAATTTTTGGCGGCCATTTTGGATGAAAAATGATTTATTTTGAAAATCTGACTTCAGAATCGTGATCAGCGACCCCAAAAACCCCCGAGTAAAAATTGTTAATACTTATCAAGATTTATATTTGATGAGAATAGATACACCTGGAAAAATTTGGACAAAGCTGGGAAAACCGGATAGTTTGTTAAACAAAAGTAATAATAGACACCCTGTTTAACTTTTGCCTTTACAATGCTCAAAACATCCCTAAAAGTTAAATCTAGAATTAAAATAACATAACTTTTTACTATCTAAGTTTTTTCCCAGTATCATAATGCAAGTATCGTATCACAGGTATTCTTGAATTCCTGCAGTATCAATTTTATCATAAAAAATCTCCATTTTTAATATTTTCGAAGTTTTTGCAATTAAAAATTTTTTTATTAATTAAATAAACAAATAATTCTAAATTCCATTATTTTGACGTCAAAAGTTTATCAGAGACCCCAAAAATACTACTGAATTAATCTTGATAGTAATTGGTCTCTCAATTATAATTTTTCAATTTTTTGATATTAAAAACATTTTTATACATACTTCCATCTTATAGTTATAGGACAGTTTTTTTTCAAAGTTATGCTAAAATATGACTAAATAACATGCAATATTTAATTACAAAAAGTTTAAAAGATATACATTAAAAAATATAAAATTTGGAAATTTTCCATTTTTATTGAATACCTCCCATTCTAACAAATAAGTTTAAAATCTGTAAATTAATTGTTTATATATATTTTACAAAAGTCATAACTACCCCGGTGGCATTGATGAGTTGAAAGTGTACCAACTGTTGAAAGTTGACACCGATGGCGCCAGCTATGCACAGGCCCTGTTTCAATTAAAATACATGGGATAATGCATAAAAATTGTATTTTCTTTAACTGAAATTAATTCAATCATATTTTTTTTACATGAAATGAATCTAGAAACTTTTAAACATATTTTGTAACAATTGTTACTTTATTAAAGCGTGGAATAATTTATTTAGAACGAAATTTCTACCTAAATTTTTGGCGGGATTTTCAAAAATATGTAAGTTTTTATAATTATTTATAATTATTTTTTAATTTACTACTATTAATATTTTAAAACTATATTGAGTAGATGAGAAATAAAAAAATTTATAATAAATAATAATAATAATTAATATTTTTTGAAATTCCCGCCTAAAACTGAGATGAAAATTTCGTTATAAATTAAATATTCTACTCTTTTATAAGGCTATAACTATCAAAAAATATGTTAAAAAGTTTCTATATTAATATTGTGTACAAAGAAATACGATTTAATTAATTTTAATTAGTGAAAATTTAATTTTTTTGCAATATCCCATGCATTTTAACTGAAACAGGGCCCGTGCATAGCTGGCGCCAGCTGGTGGACACTTTCAGCTCTCATGTCTTTTCATACAATGGAAAAAATGAGCAATGCCACCGGGGTGGTCATAACTGATTAATTTACAGCAATCTGGCAAAATTAAAAAAAAAATTTCGAATTTTTTGGAAAATTCATAATTTTTTTTTCATATTAATATTATTTTTTAATTCAATTTATTGTTATATATCTTTAAAATCATTTATATTATTAATAAATTAAAAAATTTATGCCAATCTGCAAAAATAAAAAAATTTTTTTTTTAATTTTTTGAAAAATTTATAACTTTTGTTCATCTCAATATTTTTTCATCAAATATAGCTAATATTTTAAGTCAGACCAATACCTAAAAGATTGCCAAATTTTACTTCAATCGGTCAAAACGTTTTCAAGTTATACGCGAACAAAATTTTGCGGACATACATACATACATACAGACAGGAAATTTTCTATTACCATTTTTGGATTCTCCGCTGTTCAAATAAATAAATTATGCTAGAAAAAATTAATTTCGTGCAATGTACAGACAAAAGTCTGATTTTATTAATATAGATAGATAGATAGATTAGAGTGTTTTTTTCATTAAAATTTTTACTTTCAATGAAAAATAATTATCTTCCAATGAGAATTAGACCCATTAATATTATTTCCCTGATAATTTCAAACATTTTTGTTTTGTTTTTAAAAAAAATTATTTATTTCATTAAAATTCAATCCTGTATTATTATTAACATTATTACAACCATTGTTCACATGATTCTTTATGTTTCTTATTATTATAGAATAATTATACAAATGCAATATTATAGACAAAAAAACCTAAGTGGCCGGTTAACCCCAGGGGATGGGGCAAACCAGCCAGTTTGCAAATTTTTTTAAAGTTTACACAGCAACTAAACAATAAAAGATAAAGTATAGATGTCTCTGTGAAAAAGTTACGCAATTAAATGATATTTCAAACAAGCCATCGAAAAATAAAATCAGTTGATTCATTTAGTCATTAAAAGTAAAATAGTATATTAAGCAATAAGGCGCCCTCGACCTCCACTCGCGTCACAAAAATCACTGTAAACAAATGGCTGCCTTTATTCCCATGTTACTTACGATATTTTTTATTCCAAATGCACAAAAGTGGCGATTTCAGATAGCAGACGGCAGGGAGTAAAAGTCATTCACTTGTTCGACTTGTATAAAAATGGCGGCCGTTTTCTCTCATGGACAAGAATAACGCATCGGAACAGCTGATTACTGTCGGATTCTTATTTGTTTATTTACTAATTATTTAACAAATAAAATTTTTTTTTCATAAACATGATTGGTTTAATAGTTTTGTGTGATCGTAAGGAACAACATCACATAAAAGAATTCGTTAAAAAAATATGAATTGCACTTTTAAAACAGTGTTAATTAAAAAGATTGCTTTCGGTGGCCAACTACTGTCGGATTCTTACTTTTTTTGTAAATTTTTTTAACGAATAAGAATTTTTTTTTGTAAACATGATTGGTATACTAGTTATGTAGGAACATTAGGAACAATTACACATGGAAGAAATTTTAATTGTAATTTTTAAACAGTATTCATTAAAAAGATTTTCTTAAGTAGCCGACTACTATCTGGTTTACCCTACATAGTTTTTATAAGTTTGACTACGTAGAAATAAAAAAAGAATATTTTGTTACACAAAAAGCACAAATTTTACAAAATAATCAAAACAACGACCACTAACTGACCTTAAAAAAGTCTGAAAAAAATCTGACATATTTTTTGGGTCAAAAGAAGTCTAATTTCGTGTTAAGGTTTTAGAAATTCGAAAAAAAAGTTTTTGATGAAACGCCCTAAATGACTACACCTCTTTTCTATACCACAGCAAACGATAAGGTTTGAAAATAAATTCTGTTTTGATTTCACGCTATTTGTAAAATTTATTAAAAATAACATTTATTAATTATTAAGTAATAATTTACCCGCATTCCTTCCGGCAAGCAAATTCTTTTGTCAACTAAAAATCGTATTGCATATATTAAAGTAATTAATATGAAAAATAATTTAATAATTATTAAATTATTTATAAATTTATCGCTAAAAATTGATTTATTAAACCATCTAAAACTATAAAAATCGAATATAGATGATAAAGATAGAATTTTTGTTAAAAAGAATCAGTTTTCTTTTGTGATTTTCCATGTTTGACAATATTTTCTTTTGTGTTTTTTCCTGTCCCTTGTTTTGTTACATCTTTATTGTTTTTCTCTTTACCTGACTTTTCTCCACAAATGGAATGATGCACCAAAGCGTTATTGTAAATAGACACATAGTTAGAAATACAACATTACTCGCTTTGGCAATAAATTCATATTTCTTCAGTAGAAAGTGATGTTCCTGTTGTTTCGGTGCAAATATTGGTTGATGTAGTCTTTGAAAAAATTCCAGTATTTTATTGCCACGAAACATTACTAGAAATAATTTTGGCAGATGCGCGACACAAGTTAATGCAAGATAAGAGCATTCAATTACATTTTCTAAATTCGATCGAACAATATATAAGTTGAAAAATAGTGGTGGCAAAAGAATTGCGATGTAAATTAGATGAATACCATATTCGTAAAAACCGTAAATAAATCTAAAAGTTTTTTATCTTTGTTATCTACGTTATTATAAATTTAACTTTTTTTATTTCACTAGACAAATCACACAATATTTTACAACAATATTGCTAGTATTTCCAGACAGTGTTCATGCAATATTGCCTTCCAACTTATTATAATTAATCAGTTTTTACAATTAATTAGTTTTTAATATTAACTTGTTTTTATAATTAATTATTTTACATAAACAATTACTTTTTCTAAAAAACTTTTTTTTGTATTTTAAACAATTTATTTTTAAAAATCTTTTATATTTAAAACTTGAATTTTAAGTAATAATTTTGATAACATTTTGTCTTTGTTAAATTTTTTTAATACAGTTCACTTTTTAACACTAAATATTTCTTTAGGTATTAAAAAAATACAAAATTGCGACGCCTTCGGTTGACAAAATTGTAATTCAATTCTCCATAAAATATTATTTTAACTCTAAGTTGCGTTTAATTGGTCATTCTTTCTCAAATCTCAGTACATTATATTTCTTTATTAATTATTATATTTCTCTAACTTTGAATTGAATTCAAAACATATTAAACAGCCGAGAAAAATAATTAATATTCTATTTGCAAAAACAATTATGACATTCAATTTTCTGTAAAACTAAAAAGAAAGAGAGTAAGTGATGATGGAAATTTTCTTCTATCGGAGGATTTATATGACACTGTGCTTTATTGTTCTCTTGAATGCAACTAAAAAAGTAGTGAAAAATTTTTGGAAAAATATTCATGAACATAGGGAATATACAACTTTGGAATTTTTTAGCATTTAGGACAAGAGGCTTAATTAATTGACTTAGAATTTTATAAAGGATCGAGATTAAAATCTAGACAGAAATCGTTAAGACTCTGTTCCACCTTAAGAAGGGATGTTTTACTGTATGAGGCCAGGCACCAAATACAGTAAAACTCCATATATTCAAACGGAATGCATCTTCTGGTTTATAGATATCCATATTTTGAAGAGATAATAATTTTCCAACAAGTTTTCTAATTTTCCGTTTTGAAATAATTTTGTCTTATAGAATTCGATTGTACAGAATGGATTAGAAATGATTGCCGTCTGGAGGCACATTAAGAGAGAAAACTTATATACAATGTATACATATCTCAATGTATTTGTAAAATATCAGAAATACGAACAAGTTTCCTATTGATTGACTCTACTTTGTTGGGGCTTCCTCTATAATTTATATCTGTCGTTTAGTAGATGGAATTGAAAATCTTATTTCAGCACGTTTTCAACTCTTTGTCATTACATGAAGCCATAGTTATTTCTATATACTTCAAGTGTACAATTTTCATACATATTTTATTTGTAAATTCTTGGTCTCGTTTCTCAAATTTTATGAGCTTCTTCTGTGATACTATTCATGTCGATAAATTTCTTGATTCTAAATAAGAGTTGTAAACTTACATTGTGAACTTTCTTTCTTATAAAAACAATGTTATAAAAATAAAGTTTGATTTTTTAATTTCATTATTTGTTGATAATATAGTGTTGTGGGGTGATGTGCAACGTTTTTTTTCGTTGGACGAAAAACATGTCAAATAATTAATTTGTTAAATATTTCAGAATTGAATGACTTAGAGGCAATATAATAGAATATTTCTGCATTATTAGATTTTCAGAATTTTAAATTTTTCCTACAAATTTTTTGCTTTTTCAAAAACGTCTGTTTTTGCATTTTCCAAAAAAGTTGGGGTGATGTGCCACTCCAGTAAAATTCAGGTATGTAATGCATAAATATCGATGAAAATCTCTTTAATTATTAATTTTAGGTTTTTTCAATGCAAACTAATCGAAATCTGCCAAAAAAAATTTACTAAGGTATAGTTGACCTCTGAAAAGTAGAAATTTCACCAAAGAAAAAAAAATTTTTTGTTTAATTTTTTATTTATTAATAACTGAATGAGGAATATAATTAAAGGAAAATAACTAAGAATTTTTTATTCATCATGTAAATCACAGTTATGTCACGTAAAAAGTAGTTACGTCCACCCCAAAAAAAAGTGTTGCACATCACCCCAAATATGATATTTTGCGAAAAATGATTTGTACGCAATACAATGCAATGGAAACACAAAATATAAACAGATATTTAAAAACACTAAAAAAACCAACAATAAACACATTCTTATCTATAAAATAAATTAAAACTCTTCACGAAACAACTAGAAACGTAAAGAGCGAGAAATATTTCCTGATCGAAAAAATTTAAGTCAACTTACGTACAGCAAACCTAGCTGCGAGCTGTCTCGTGAGTTTTATATAAAAAACAAGCTACTGAGGATACAAACAAATGGCAATACTTGGCTCTGTTCAATATCGAACTGTAGATCAGAAATCGGCGGTGTTGCACATCACCCCACAACACCCTATTCCAAAGTTACTAATTAAATTTTTTTCGATTTTTTCGACCTAATTTGATTAGAAATTACAAAATTAATTATTGATAGTTTAAAAACCAAAAATTGTAAAGAAAGTCTTAGTTTTTAAATTTTGTTAAAAAATGTGGAAGTAACTTTTCAAGTCTTATAAATAGATTGTAGAATTTTAAAAATCGCTTTGATTCACCTATTTTTGAACCTAATTCGAATAGAAATAGGAAATTATTGTTATTTTAAAAACCAAAAATTATGAGAAATATCATTTTTAAAATTTTTCAAAACTTTAGGGCTATTATTTAATGAAAGATTTATATATACTTACTTATTATAGTTCTGGCAGTTGGCACAACCTAAAGTCATATTTAAGAACAAGAATATATATTACATAGCCAAGTTTTTTAAATAAATTTTTGTATAAATTACAGGTTGAATATGTTAATTATTTTATTTTAAATATTAATTTCCGTTTTTGAACTTGTATTGTATTAAAAAACAACTATGTTTACACAGTTAAAAAAATTTTATCAAAAAGATAAAAAAATTATCAGTTGATTTACAAAACATTTGTTTCCTTTAGTTGTTGACTTGTTTTAAAAGGACGTAAAATGTATAAGACATTCTAATAATCTGAAAAGCAAATTTTACATTATTGAAATTTAATTGAATCCGTTATAGAAAATTTTTGCGCTATTCCATTTTTTATCTTTTTATTAAATTTTATGTACCTACTTAATCAATATTTTCTGTTTTCTTTATTTTCTTTTTTAATTTTGATTTTATTACTGGGATGCGATTTTGCAATTTGACTTGGCCTTCGATTCGTTTTTGGCATTGATTTTGATATTGACTTAGACGTTGACTTTTACTGTGAAAGTCAATGTCAAAGTGAAAAAGAAAGTCAAAATCAAATCCAAAGTCAAATTACAAAATCTCACCCCTGAACAAAAAGTAAATAATTATTTTATTTACTTTTAAGAAAGTAAAAGGAATCTTTTATTTAAAATATATACATATGTATATATAAAAAATTACCTATATTAAATATTCTTTAATATAAAATAAAAGAATAAAAAGGAAGTAAGTAAATAAAAGAATACATAAATCGATTAATTAATTAATAAATAAAAGAAAAATTAATATATCAGTGAACTTATTAATTAATAAAATGTTTTTATTAATAAATTAATAATGAAATCAATAAATCAATTAATAAATAAATGTTTTAATACATTCGTAAATAAATTTGTACTTGTGAAAAATAAATTTACCTTGAAGAAAGTGTCGACCGACAACAAAAAGAACTTTCCGACACATAATGTCATTGGAACTTGAAGATGTGACATTATAATACAAAGAGATTTTCTGAATTTTATATTTGGAACTGACATCCATCCGCATTCATAAACTGCATCCATTAGTTCTGTTGTCTGCAAAAAATAACTCGTATTTACTTAACAAATTGGAATATTATTTAAACAATTTGAAAATAAATTAATCAAAAAATTTGGGGAAACATATTTTATTTTTAAGAAAAATTTCACATTTCAAATATTTTAGTTTTGAAAGGAAAACTTGCCTTTATGGTGACATCATTACCACGCCAAGTGTAAATAAATATTTGATACAACATGCACATTTGATATAGTAAATACATATAAAATTCCATTGTAGTCGGCGAAATCTTAAAAAATTAATATTAAAATGAAATAAATTAATTTTAAATTAAATAAAATTTGAAAGTTAGTAAAATATTTTTCTACTTTAATATTAAAATAAACTTGATTATACATAAATTAAATAAATAAGTAAATTGAATAATTTATTACTTAATTGTAAAAAATATTAAAAATTTGAAAGTTAATAAAAAAGTATTGATGTTAATAGACAGAAATACTTTAATCTTGAAAATTGGCACCTAATATAAAATAAAGAAGAATTTAAAAAAGTATGACAAAAAAATTAAGTGAAGAATATGTTAATAATATAAATAAACAATCTGTAGGTAAACAAATACATAAGTAACAATTTTAGTATTCTTGTTCTAATAATAGAAAAAAATGGTTTCTTAAATTAGAATCATCAGATCAAGTATTGAATTAAATTATTGAATTTTTTTCATTGATAAACAATTAATATAATAAAAAAGTTTTTTTTATTTTTTAGTAAATATGACTTACTGATGTTATTTCATAAGTTGTCGCACAAATAATAAAACTACTGACGCAGACTTGCATCACAATTCCAATTTGAAAAAAATTTGTTACGTCATTAATAAATCTAAATAAAATAAAGTTTCTCGAGTAGACTTATAAGGAAATTACTAGCTAAAACCTAGCTTTTCAATGTGATTATAATCTTACTTATAGCTTAAATAGAGCAATAGTTTTAATTTTAATTAATTTTAATTTTTACTTTTGAACAATAGGAGTTATTTTTGGAACAAGAGAATTTTTATATGATTTTCCAACTTTTATAAACATTTATTTTTAACTCACTTGACAATTGCCTGATATCGCAATAAGCATTGAATAATTCTTTCATTCAATATTTTCTCTATTGCTTTATCAGTGTAATATGTAACATTTTCTTCCGACCTAGAATAATTTGAAGTTATAAATTTTCTAGTATTTTGGTATGTAATATTTATAAAAATGTATTTTATTCTATTTAGGATAAATCCGGAGGAGATGGTCCACAGAGAGAAAGCTTGTTAATTTTTGTATCAAAATAAATAATTAAATAAAAAAAATGGAAATGAAAATTTAATGTCTATAGATTATTGGAAAAATATGAAGAATCCCTTTAATTCACAGGACCATAAAATTTTTTAAAGAAAGTATTGACCGGACCATATATTTTATATGTTTTTTGGGTCGCTGAATTCGAATCCGAACTCAGTTTTCCGCCATCACGTCAAGTTTTTTCGCAAATTAATAAAATTCGAAAAAAACTGAGTGTAAACAAGATTAAATAAAGATTCTATTAAAAAGCAACTTTAAAACACTGAAAAAATATTATATAATGTTAAACAATCAAAGAAACTCGTAAATATTTAAAATTTAAGATGGAGGATCCAATATGGCGTCAATTTTTTTAAAATTCACCCAATTCGACTGAAACTTGTTACTCGGGGATTTTTGGGGTTGCTAAATACGAATTTCACCTTAGTTCTCAAAAATTCAAAATGACGGATCCAATATGGCTGACCAGTTTTAAAAAAAATTATTGGATTTACCTGAAATGTTATACTCGGGGGTTTTTGGGGTCGCTGAATACGAATTTCACCTTAGTTTTCAAAAATTCAAAATCTGATAAATTTTTAAATAATTCGTTAGCCACATTGGATCCGCCATTTTGGATTTTTTAAAACTAAGGTAAAATTCGTATTCAGCGACCCCAAAAACCCCCGTGTAACAAGTTTTAAGTAAATCTGATAATTTTTTTAAAAATTCGACAGCCATATTGGATCCGCCATTTTGAAAAAACTTGACGTGATGGCGGAAAACTGAGTTTTGATTCGAATTATGTGACACAAAAAACATATAAAAAACATGGTCTGGTCAATAGTTTCTTTAAAAAAAGTTTTGTGGTCCTGTGTTATGTTCTAATTCTAACCTTTTAAAATATTTTCAAATGTGGAAAATTTCATTACAGAAATTGCATTTTTTTACTGTCAACATAAAAGTATTAAAATATGTTGGACAAATTGCCTGCAAATGCTTCGAACACCTGTTGACAAAACTCATGCTTTAAATTATTTTGAGGGATCTGTAAGCGAATTTATATTCAAAAGTTTAAAATTAAAAATGGTGGATTCAATAAGGCGGATTAAATATATGAGAATGTTTTGGATGAAGATTAAACTCATGTTTTAAAGGTTTTTACAGTTGTTTAATAAAAATTTACATTCAACTTTTAATTATTAACGTGTGTGTTATTTATTAAAAAAAAAAAAAAAAAAAAAAAAAAAAAAAAAAAAAAAAAAACTACCTGCGTGGAAATGGAAGAATGAGTAAAAGATGCCAAATTGTGGAAGTATGGCAAACCATGGGAAGAAGAATAACTATTTTTTATATTTAAAAACTATGGGTAAAGTATGACAAACCATGCAATTTTCTTCTCATGGTTTGCCATACTTCACCCATACTTTGAAAATATAAAAAAACAGTTATTTTTTCTTCCAATATTTTGAAAATATATGATTAAAAATATAAAAAAAATACTTAGTTAAATTTCTTCGCGTGGTTTGACATACTTTGCCCACAATACAAAATTTTGACAGTAAACTTTAAAAATATGAAAATAGTATATTAAGCAACAAGGGTATAAAGGCAGCCATTTGTTTACGGTGATTTTTGTGACACGAGTGGAGGTCGAGGGCGCCGTAGACGCCCCGAGACCTCCACTCGTGTCACAAAAATCATCGTAAACAAATTGGCTGCCTTTATTCCCATGTTACTTACGATATTTTTTATTCCTAATGCACAAAAGTGGCGATTTCAGATAGCAGACGACAGGGAGAAAAAGTCATTCACTTGTTCGACTTATATGAAAATGGCGGCCGTTTTCTCCCTTGGGCAAAAATAACGCATGGGATCAGCGGTTATGTTTGCACATGGGAAAAAATGGACGCCATTTTCATATGGTCGAACAAATGAGTGACTTTACTCCCTGTCGTCAGCTATCTAAAAGCGCCATTTTTGTGCATGTGGGATAAAAAACCCTTTTTTCTTTTCCTCATGCATTTGCCATACCTACCTACTTTGCCCATGGTTTAAAAATTAACTTTCTTCATTTTACTTAACCAACGACAAAAAAAAATAATGAAGACCTTCCAATTCAATTTCAAAGATTGAAATGAAATTAAAATTCGGATGTTAATTCTTCTTAAGCAACCGCAGAAACCTTTAAAACATTCTAAATTTTTAATTTTCGAGTAACGGTTCGTTAAAAGCGAACTCAAAAACGAATTTTTCATCAGGTTTGAAAAATTTGTATATAATTTGTACACCATATTGAATCACCGACAGATTGGCTCGGTCGGATAAATGCCTGGCTCGGTGGGCGGACCAAGGGTATTTGGTTCGCGCCCATTAGCCTGGGATTTTTCCGGCACGTGAGATAATCTGAGATAAACCGGTTGTACTCGAAGAGGTTTTCTACAGTTTCCCTCTCAACTGGCGAGAAAACCCATTAGACGGGTAGTCCAGGCAAATGCGAGTACTCCTAATTTTCAAGTCGCTCTGTAGGCGCAAAAATTTAGTATTAAGAAATGTTTGTAAGGAATGTTCTACGGTTGTAAAAACACTTGTATAGCCAAGATTGTAGGCTTAAGACGGGTGTATAAACAAATAAAATAAAAAAAAATATTGAATCCGTCAATTTAAATTTTGAAATTTGTAGTTCAGATTAATGTTCAGTGACTACAAGAAGATTTAAAACATGAATTCTGTCCAAATCCGAAACATTTTTACATTTTGGTAAAAAAAACGTGTCGAATTAAATTAAAAAATTCTCTTTATGAACTTTTACATCAGATTCGTAATCAATTTGAAAAAATAAGTAAGTGTAGTTTATTAAGACACTGATTTCAACACTTTTGTGTTCGCAGTAAAAGAGAAATGGAATTTCTTTAATGAAATCCCCCACAGCACCGAAACCTTTCTAAAAATTTATTAAATATTTACTTGCAATATTCGGAATATTTAATTGCAATGTTTTTTGAAATTTGTGTACAGATTTAAATGTCCCGATTAAATAAATGTTTAGCGCGAAGCTTTCCTGAACATTTCAATAAAATCTTCGCATAATTATAATTATAATTATGCGAAGATGTAATTTCATGTTCAGGAAATGTTCAGGAAAGCTTCGCGCTAAACATTTATTTAATCAGAACATTTAAATCTTTACACGATTTTCACTAAAATTTTCAGTTAAATATGACGAATATTGCAAGTAAATATTTAATAAATTTTTAGGAAAGTTTCGGTGCTGCGGGGATTCCAACTTTGAAGAATTTTTTTATAGGTTAGAATATATTTAAAGGGTTTCTCAGCTTTCTTCCCGTAATTTATAGTGATTAAACTTTCGTTTTTCCAAATTTTATTTTTTTGTTCAATTATTTTAATTCTGTCAAATGTTATACGATTTTAACACTAAAATTATATTTCTTCACTGTGTGGACAATTGAATTTTTCGTTATTTTAAAGTTAAGTGTTTATCCCTTTCGTGCTTTCGGGACATATACATATGTCCGACTTTGAAAATTTTATGTAATTCTTATAAAACTCAACCAATTAATTTGCGGTAAATTTTTTTCTATTCCGAATGGATGCTGCTTACAATTTTTTACAATACAACTTACAAAAAATACAATTTTTTATAATTAAAAGCTATGGCCATATCCCCTGAACTTATCTCATGTTTATAAATAACACAGTGCAACATTTTTGAGGTCATCGAATGTGCACTAATTTTGACTTCAGTTTCTGAAAGAACTTATCGAAACTAGCAAAAACCTATTTCAGTTTTGCTAGATTAGCTCGGATTTGAATTTTATCGACATTTGAATTTTTTTTTTTTGAATTTTCACATTTTTCAGTTTTCTGATACGGGCGGATGGGAACACTGGATATTAAAAGTTTATGAAAAAAATTCGCAATGGTCACGATTTGAAAAGCAATAATCCCTCTTTAATTACAGAGAAAGAAAGAAAAATTTGGTCGAAAATTGTTCCAGTTACGAATTTTTTTTTGACATTTTTACATTTTTCGGTTTTCTGAAACGAGCGGGTGAGACAGCTGGCTATTAAAAGATTATAAAAAAAATTCGCGGTGGTCACCATTTGAAGAGCAATAATTCCTCTTTAATTTCTGACATTGAAAAAAAAATTTGGTCGAAAATTGTTCGAGTTATGAATTTTTTTCGTACTTTTTCAAATTTTTCTTGTTTTTGATTCGGGCGGGTGAGAACGCTGGTTATTAAATTTTTCTTTTTTAAAATCGTAATGGTCACATTTTGGAGAGCAATACTTTCTCTTTAATTTCTGACAAAGAAAAAAAAAATTTGGTCAAAAATTGTTCCAGTTCGTCGCTTGGGGGCAGCAACATGCCGACTCAGCTAAACGGTGAAAAAGATGCCGTTTCAAAAAGAAAAGTGAAAAACATGCCATTTCACGAAACCTATGGAAACTATGCCTCGCCGCGAAAGCGCTGAGAAACATACCTTCTCCAAACGAACGGTGAAGAACATGCCTTTTCATACAACTTTTCAACTTATTTACGGTTGAAAAGGCATGTACTTCACCGTTCGTTTGGAGAAGGTATGTTTCTCAGCGCTTTCGCGGCGAGGCATAGTTTCCATAGGTTTCGTGAAATGGCATCTTTTTCACCGTTTAGCTGAGTCGGCATGTTGCTGCCCCCAAGCGACGAGTTATGAATTTTTTTTTGACTTTTTCACATTTTTCAATTTTTTGATCAGGCGGGTGGGAACGCAGGCTATTGAAAATTTATAAAAAAATTTCGAATGATCACAATTTGAAGAGCATTAATTCGTCTTTAATTTCTGCCCAAAAAAAAATTTGGTCAAAAATTGTTCAAGTTATGATTTTTTTTTTACTTTTTTTGAATTTTCGGTTTTCTGATAACGGAAGTGGGAATATTGACTATTAAAAATTTATAAAAAGAATTCGTAATGGGCACAATTTAAAGAGCAATAATCCCTATTTAGTTTCTGCCCAAGAAAAAATATTTGATTCGAAATATTTGGTTTCGAAAAAAGTCAAAAAAATCAAAACCCGCGGTTCGACAGGACCGCCGGTATATAAATGTACAGAAATAAATAAATAACACGAATAATTTTCTACCAATTTTTTTTCCTTTATCAGAAATTAAAGAAGGATTATTGCATTTTAAAATTTGACCGTTGTGAATTTTTTAAATAAATTTTTAATAGCCAGCGTTCCCACCCGCCCGTATAAAAAAACCGAAAAATGTGAAAAAGTAAAAAAAAAACCATAACTGGAACAATTTTTGACCAAATTTTTTTTCTTTGACAGAAATTAAAGAGGAATTATTGCTCTGGAAAATGTGACCATTGCGTTTTTAAAAAAGAAAAATTTAATAACCAGCGTTCTCACCCGCCCGAATCAAAAACAAGAAAAATTTGCAAAAGTACGAAAAAAATTCATAACTCGAACAATTTTCGACCAAATTTTTTTTTCAATGTCAGAAATTAGGGAGAAATTACTGCTCTTCAAATGGTGACCATTGCAAATTTTTTTTATAAACTTTTAATAGCCAGCGTTTCCACCCGCTTTATCAAAAAACCGAAAAATGTGAAAAAGTCAAAAAAAAATTCATAACTCGAACAATTTTCGACCAAATTTTTTTTTCAATGTCAGAAATTAGGGAGAAATTACTGCTCTTCAAATGGTGACAATTGCAAATTTTTTTTTATAAACTTTTAATAGCCAGAGTTTCCACCCGCTCGTATTAGAAAAACCGAAAAATTTGAAAAATTACAAAAAAAATTCATAGCTCGAACAATTTTTGACCAAATTTTTTTTTTCTTTGTCAGAAATTAAAGAGGAATTATTGCTTTTCAAATTGTGACCATTGCGAATTTTTTTAATAAACTTTTAATAGCCAGTGTTCTCATCCGCCCGTATATCAGAAAACCGAAAAATGTGAAAGTTCAAAAAAAAATTCAAATGTCGATAAAATTTAAATCCGAGCTAATCTAGCAAAACTGAAATAGGTTTTTGCTAGTTTCGATAAGTACTTTCAGAAACTGAAGTCAAAACTTACTGCACATTTTTTGTGTTGCACTGTGTAATATTCATAAAGAGTCGACAAAAAAGTCAAAATAACCTTTTTCCGTTAGATTCAAATTTCTCAAAAACGTCTAAATTTTTGTTTGAAAATTCAATAATTTGAGTTGAATTTAGTGAATGGGTAGTAAAAAAATCTGTCAATTCACGAAAATCTTGTTTGAGAATTTCCATTTGTCCAACCATTACAACATAAAAATTTGTAGTCATTATATCAATCATGGAATTCATAGCGGCTGTGGTAAGCAAAAGAATTGTTTGAGAAATGTACGTGTAAGCATAAGCTGGATTGACTGTTGCATTGTACGGGTACCATGCAGCGTAAAGTAATGTCTTTTCCTAAAAAACAAAAAAACTCTCATTACAATTGTTAGAAAATAATTGCAACCGTAAGAAAGCGAATGCAGTAAATTTTTGTATTAACAGAGTAAAATTTACTTATGTCTAAAATTTTTGCTCTAATTTTTAATATTTCCCAAAAGTCAGTTTTACTATTTCCAAAGTTTTTCCTTGTTCTGATCTTTTGTGATTATTAAAATTAAATTAAAATTTAATTGAAAAAATTGTAAAATTAATTTGATTATTGTACCTCTCTGTTTTCAACCAATGGAAAAATAATCCACAAAACACAAGTTCCAAGTGACAAAGAAAGAAATGTATATGAACTTGCTCGTCCTACTTTTGCTGATTTTTTCAATACATTTAAATGTTCAATTCGTCTTGGAGCAAATATAGGATTGTTCAATCTTTGAAAGAATCCTTCAATTTTCTTTCGTCGAAATAAAAATACAACGAGTTTCGATGCATAACCAACGCAAGTTAATGTGAAGAAAGAACTATCCACAAGTTGTTTCATGTCACCTCGCATAATATACATGCTTGTAAATTGTGCCGGTAAAAGTCCTCCAATATAATAAAAGTGAATCACATATCCGTAAATCTTGTATATAAATCTTGAAAAATGATAAACAGAGGGAAAAATTTAAGGTAAAAAAAATTTAAAAAAAACTTTTGACTTTTTTTCATCGATTTTAGAGTTTTACAATCTTTTATTTTATTTTATTTTTTTTTATCTTTATCTTAAAAACGGGTTTAAAAATAAAATTTCTAGTGTTAAAATAATTCAATTAAACTTCTGCCCTATTCTTTTCAACTTTTACTAATTCTAGAGTAACTTTTTCAACAAAATTTTATTATTTCTAATACTAAAATCTCTTTGGAAAACAGTAAAATTTACCACAAATACAAAATTTTATTTTCAAAGATAATTTTACTGTGCGATAATAAAAAAAATTTTACTATATTTTATACTATTTTTTATTTCGAATTAAATTAATTAGGGTAGAGTGGGGTAAAAAAGCCACATTTTTACTTTTGATGCTGTAAAATCTGTATTTAAAATTTTTTTCTCAAATTTCCAATTGTTATTGAAAGTTTAGTTATTAAGCTTGAAAATTCTTGACGGAAATATTTTTTATCTCATGAAAGGACTAAGTTATAAGAGTTTTACGAAAGCACTGCAAGTGGCTTTTTTTGCACCACCTGGTGGGGTGAAAAAGCCACCCTACGATTTTAGCAAAACACGTTATCAATTTAGGTATTTTTATATTTTTCCTTTATTTATATGACAAATAGTCTTATTTGAAAAATATTCTAATAATTATGAAAGAGTTTTTAGCAAGCAAAATTAAAAATTATATTAAGTTTACCTGTTTTCGATTTGCACTGCCAATTTTTCGTACCTTTTTTAGAAGTTCTCTTTAAGTTTTACCACAGATAACATATTTCGTTGCAACCGTTTATTCATTGTTTATTTTTTAAATGCACTTTGAACTACTTTTTCGTCGTGTTTAATTTATTTTATTAAATAAACACGAGAAATTTTGTAAAATAAGAAGGTTAGTTTAAATAGAAAACAAGTGAATTTCACAAAATATTCAATGGATTTTTTGCCCTGGCTTTTTTACACCCAAGACCAGTTATTAAAAAAAGCAAAAATAAATTGTTAATTCAGTTCAATTTCCAAAAATTAACATTGTATACGTTTTCGGTATACTTTTCTCCTTATGTACAAACATTTACTTTTATTATTCGTTCACTTAATCAAATTGTAATATGTTTGAAAAGTTCACCAAAATGTTTTCAAAAAAGCAACAAAAAATTAAAATTACAATAAAAACAATATTAATCTAGGTACAACATTCAGATTAGATTCAAAAGTTGCGTATTACCTAATAGTATTTATATTCTAAACAGCTGATAAATCGGCTTAATAGTTTTTAAATAAAACTCAAATGGCTTTTTTACCCCACTCTACCCTATAATAAACAAAGAAAATACTTTAAAAAATACTAATGTTTTCACTAAAATTTTTTCTTTGCAAGTATAAAAAAAATTTACTTTTAGAAATAGTAAAGGACTTTTTATGAATTTTGATTCACGAATGTAAAACCTTAAAGTCGGATTCTCAACGGAGGAAGGCCAAGCGCCGAAGAATTTGAATGTACGAAGATTTATAGTAAAAGCGTCTTCTGGTCTATAGACTTCCATTTGAAGATGGGAAATTTTCTCTCAAAAGAAAGGTGTATTTTGTAACACAGGGTTGCATTAAATTCACCTAACTATGCAGGTAATAATTCGAGGCAGTTGAAAATGATTGGCATGTAAAATCCATATGCTTGGTTGCAGTATCGCGAAATAATAGGCACTCGAAAGAAACGCCCCCTCCTTATTTCTCAACTCGAATTTCCTGAAATCAACTCTCTATAATTTAATAGGGCTCGAATCAATTGTAAAACGTTGTTTTGTAATATTATTCTATGCCTCTGTTGCTATTTATTGTCATCTATTATTTGCTACCGTAAATGCCATAAATATGTTCACAAATATATTAAAAAATGTTTTCAATATTTTAATTGGCATATTATAGGTGGATTTCTACTTTGTTGTAAAACCGAAGAATTGTATGAAGTATATCTTCATATTGTGTTTCGTTCTATTGATATATATTTGACGGATTTTAATAAATATATGGTCATTTTTCTGGATGGTTTAAACTTTATGTTGCATGTCTTAAATAATTATTTTATATTTCAATATAAAGTAAATTCGATCTATAGAAGGTAGAAAAATATAAGCAATTATTTTTAAAGTTGCGACGTTTCGATGGTGTGGTTAACCATCTAGTTCAGGCTAATTGATTAAGATAACACCAAATTACCTAAAAAAAAGCAAATATTAAATATTAAATAAAAAATACGGTAAAATTTAATAACACCTGATTTTAAAAAAAATTAAAACTCACATTGCAACTAGTCAATATTAAAAATTGTTAAATAATTAAAACAGGGTGATTGCTTTTTTCGTACAAAAAAATCCCTATTAATTCCCAGTCATGAATTATTTTTTCCGATCATAAAGAAAAACTCTCAAAAATTATTTTCTAGATTTCATTTCAATTATTTTCTAAAAATTTGAACTAAAATTCTTCTTTAATTGAATTATTTTTTATTTTTTTGAGAAAGTTCCTTAAAAATTCAATTATTTTAAAAAAAGTCCAACTAAAACTAAAATATTTCTAAAATCCACTTGTTTTTAAGAAAATTTCATGAAATGTCGGATAATTTGAAAATTTTTTAATTAAATATGCATTAGAAACATTATGACGTCACAGTTTATGCAAAACATTTGTTCTAAAGCTGTTAAGTCATAATGGTTTAAATGACCTTAAAAATATAACTAATTTCAAAAAAATGTAAATAAAAATGTTTTAAGAAACCAACTTAGAATTTTTATTTAAGGGGGCAGTCTGGGTCTTTTACACGTATTTTGAAGAATTTTTTTTTCATAGTGAAATTTATTTAATAATTTTTAAATAATTTTTCACCTGTTTTTTTAAACAATTTTAGTTGCAAAATAATTTTTTTTTAAATTAGTTTAATATATGTGTAATAATACGTAAAAATTTTAACATGTTTAAATAATTTTCACTATAGAAAAAAATTCTTCAAAATAGGTACGTGCAAAACACCTAGACTGCCCCTTAAGATTTTTTAAAATTCAACTTTTCTAAATCTTTAATTTGAAACTTTTTGAAATTCAATCTATATTAATAACATTAGTAATATTAATTTAACATTCTAAAATATAAAAATTTTTACTTATAAATTATTGTTATTTTATAGGAAAAACAAAATTTTATTTATTCTAATATCTCGTTCTATTAAGAATAAAAAAATTAATTTTAAGAATTTTCTTATCATATTAGTTCTAATTATTTTAAATATTTACTAATTTAAATTTAGAGAATAAGCTTTGTGCTAACATTGTTGCAATTTAATTTATGAATTAATTTATTTTTCACTATTTTATATGTGAAATTTTTTCCATTTTAAAATATAACATTTTTAATAACATGTTAGGTATATTAATTTTTATATTACTTTTTGTAATTTTTGTAACTTTATATTCCTAACCAGAAATCCTAATAAATTCCCAATTAATAAGTTTAATTTGACCCCTTGATAAAAATAATAAAAATTCTATATTCTTAAATAATATTAAAAAAATAATGTCAAAACCCGTGCAGAAAAATGGTGAGGGCCCTCGTGGATTGCCCTCTTGCCATGTCGAACCCGCAGGGGCAATCCACGCGGAGCCCTCGAGGAAAATCCTCATGGATTCCATATGGATTTTCCACGCGGTGCCCTCGTGGATTTCATAAAATGCCCTTAACTTTATTTTCAATTAAATTAATAAATTAATTATTTATTAATAACAAATTAGTCCAATTATTGATAAATAACATTCTTATTTAACAATTTTTACTTTTTTTAATTAAATCGTGACCAAAAAAAAAAAAAAAAAATCTGACGCACGCGGGAATTGAGCCTACGACCTACTGACTACCAGACAACACTCTTACCACTATGCTACGGGTCCTACTTGAAAGTTATTGCTTTAATGTAGGTGACTTGCTGACTTGCTTTTGATGATTCAATAAATTATTTATTAACACTAATACACCATGACAAATAATTAAATAGTTTAATAATAATAATAACAATATCAATAATATAATAATAGACCATAAATATTCATAAATTAATATTTTTATAATTTCAAAAAAAAAAAAATGTCAAAACATTTGTGTTAAAAACGCGTTTTTCATAGTTTAAAATCATTATAAACATTAATTTTTTTATGTAAAGAAAAATTATTTTTTTGGACTTAGAAATTTTTTCTATAGTTAATGATGTGGGCAATCCATGAGGGCCCTCGCGTGGGCCCTCATGGATTTGCCCTTAGGTAAGTTCAATATTTTCAAAAAAAGTAACATTAAATATTTGTTAAAAACGTGTTTTTCATTGTTTAAAATGATAGTAAACAATAATTTTTTGTTGTAAAAAAAAAATTTTTCGTTTGGACATAGAAAAATTGTTGAGCAGGGCATTCATAATGGCTAAGAGCAGGGGCCCTGCTGGTGCCCTCGTAAATTTCCATAACTTTGTGATAGGATTTCTGGAAAAATGTCACTTAATGTTTATTTCAGGTGCTTTGAAACGTAATTTAATGCATTCTGAACTAAAGTTTTTCAACAAAAAAATTTTTTTTTTAAAACTTAGATAAATTTTTGAGCAGGGCAACCGTAAGGGCAAAGAACGGGGCCCCTGCTGGTGCCCTCGTGGATTTCTTCTCATGGATCTTCCACGAGGGCCCCGGAGCTGTGGGGCTCGAACGTGGCTTTTTCCACACGGGAAGAAAGAAAGGGTTGGTGTAATTAAAAGAATGTGAAAAATCGATGAACAGAAGTATAATTTAAAAAAATAACCCATATAATAAAATATGGAAATGTAAAATAATTATTTTTTTTTATTTCTGGTTATTAACTGAGATAAAAGTTCCTTTGAAACAACACAAAAAATTTATACTGACAAATAATTTATGACAATTATTATTAACCACTTTATTATTACTATGCAAAAAAGTATAATTAAAGTTTATTACAAACAAAGAGATATGTAAAGAGAATTAAAAATGACAATGTACATGTTGAAAAAAATATACTTTTTTCTTTCAGTTGTTGACTTGTTTTAAGAGAACGTAAAAACTATACGACATTTTAATAATCTGAAAAGAAAATATTAGATTTTTTAATCAAATATTTACTATGAATTATGTGAATTAATATTAATTATTAATTCCTACTAACTTATTATTGATTAATTATTTAACTCACTGTTGATTTGTACTATTAATTAATTAATATTCATAACTAAATAATTCACACTATTAATTAATAATAATAATTTAATAATCAGTACTTATTAGTAATTAATTATCACTATTAATTAATACAAGTAATCACTAATAGCAATCACTACTAGTAATTAGTTAATATTTGTAAATAATGAATAACATTATTTACATTCTCATGTGTCAATGTCTTTTCATTGGTGAATGAAAAGACAGTTTTTTAATTTTATGCCTTATTGTACTAACGGTAAATAATCTTACTTTAAAGAATGTGTCAACTGACAACAAAAAAAACTTTCCGACACATAATGTCATTGGAACTTGTAGGTGTGACATAATAATGCAAAGGGATTTTCTGAATTTTAAACTTGGCACTGACATCCATCCGCATTCATAAACTGCATCCATTAGTTCTGTCGTCTGCAACAAGTATCTCGGTATTTTTTTCAAACATTTTTTATATCTTTCAATTAATATTTTATATTGTCGAAAGAAAGTTACACTATAGTGAAAGATAAATACTATTTCAATTTAAAAAAAATAGTGTTAAGTTAATAATTTTAAATGAATGAGAGTGTTTGAATTAAATTTAATTGTATTTTTTCCAGTTGCAGTGTAAAATGACTGAAAGTAGGGAAAATGAATGTTTAAAGTTTTAATAAAATTACTTGCCTTTACGGTGATGTCATTACCACGCCATGTGTAAATAAATATTTGATACAACACGCACATTTGATATGTCAAGTACATGTAAAACTCCATCGTTGTTGGTGAAATCTAATAAAACAATATTAGTACTGATTTAAAGTAAGTACAGTAAATATTTTTACTAACATTTTTTATTACTTTTATTATTAACATTTTTTTTGAAAATGTTCAAACTTTTGTTTTATTTGTTTACTTTAATTGTCTTTGTTTATTTTAAATATGACAAATACAATATTTTTCAGAAGAGTATTATTTTTGTTCCTAATTTTTATAAAGAGAACTTACTGATGTTATTTCATAAGTTGTCGCACAAATGATGAAACTACTAACGCAGACTTGTACCACAATTCCAAATTGAAAAAAATTCGTAACATCACTAACAAATCTTAAAATGGAATCAAAATTAATAATTTAGGTATACTTTTTATTAATACTTTTTTAATTTTTGTACCATTTTTGTTTCATTTTCATATCTCTAAAACCTCCAAACAATAGTTTTCGACGCCGAGCGTTGACGCTAACTTTAGAACATATTATTTTTAATTTCGAAGTTATTCAAAAAATGAAATTATTAAATAACAATTTTTCGCGAAATTAAATTTTCCTATCAGAAAAAGTAAATTAAATAATTTTTTGGTTTGCACTAAACTTTTAGTTGAATTAAGAATATTGTAAAATAGGTTTGTAATATTATAACCCTTCAACGGGTTCAAAAATCCATAACTTTATTAAAAATTAAAATATTCTTGTTTTCTGAGCGGGAGTGGCCCGCAAATTTATTCAATTTTATGGACAAATTTTATAGAACAACAAATAAATACCAAATTTTTTTTGTAACAATATATAAAAGGTAAGTATGTTTTTGTAATATTTGCAAAAGCATAGCAAAATATTAAGAGAAAATTAACAAAATTTAGCAAACATAACTAATAGGGTGTTTTTGGGGTCGCTGATTACGAATAAGAAGTAAGTTTTTCAAAATTCAAAATGGCGGATCCAATATGGCGAACGATTTTTTTAATTGATCCGATTTGCATCAAACTCGTCACTCGGAGGTTTTTGGGGTCTCTGATTACGAATCCAATGTCAGCTTTTAAAAATTCAAAATGGCTGATCCAAAATGTCAGACAAAGTTTTTAAAAGTTGAGCTAAACTTTTGAAAATGATTATTTGAGGATTTTTTGGGTCGCTGATTACGAATCTGATGTGTGTTTTTTTAAAATTATAAGTTGTGAATCTAATATAGCGGAAGAAATTTTTAAAAAATCATGTTATGCACTTACAATTCGTTACTAGTGAGTTTTCGTAAACATCCATCGTCAAAACCGACAAAATCGACATTGAATTACGAGTTTCAAGAAAATCCTAAAAAATAAAAAAAATCGGCCGCCGTATTGGATCTGCCATTTTGAATATTAAAAAGTTGACAGCGGATTTGTAATCAGCGATCCAAAAAATCCCCGAATATCGTGTTTGATGCAAATCAGAACAATTTTTTAAAAAATCATCCGCCATTTTGAATTTTGAAAATTTTGCAAAACTGATATCGGATTGGTAATCAGCAACCTCAAAAAACACTTAACTACAGTAGATGATGAAATTTTTGTTATTTTAAAAATGTCAGACATTAAAGGGTTAAGAATACATCGTTCTTTAAATTTTAAGATACAATTTGTATTGACTCAACTAAAAGTGTCAAATTAAACTATTTAATTCACAGAACACTTATTTTTCTTGTCGACAAGCCAAATAGAAGAATTGAAATTAAAATTAATTTTCGAAAAATTAATATAATGAATGACGATAAAAGTAAAAAGAACATTTGCTATTATTAAAAAATGACTTTTATCTTACTTGATAATTGCCTGATATCGCAATAAACATTGAATAATTTGATCGTTTAATATTTTGTCCAAAGATTCTTCATTCTCCAGGAAATCATCTTTTGGCGATTTTAAATATAAATTATTCAAAATTGTCGTATTTATATCCTGAAGAATTGACAAATCACTAACAAATTGCTTCTGTTCATTAAATAATTGATAATTTTCATAAAATTCTCTATTCTTCTTGGAGAATTCAATACTTGGACTCATTGAATGTGCAGCAAATAAGTTTGTCAATTCACGAAAATCTTGTTTGAGGATTTCCATATGTCCCACCATGACAACGTAAAAGTTAAGAGTCAGCATGTCAATCATGCCATTCATAGTTGCTGTCGTTACCAAAAGAATTGTTTGAGAAATGTATGTATATGCATAACCCGGATTCTGTGTTACATTGTATGGATACCACGCAGCGTAAAGTAATGTCTTTTCCTAAAATGAAAATAAAATTGTCGTTTTGATTATTAGAAAATTTTACAAGAAAAAATGAATATATAGTAACTTTTTCTGTTTACGGAGTAAAATTTACCTTGGCTACAAAATAAATTAATTTTTCAATTTAATTAAAGTTAATTTAATTACCTCTCTATTTTCAACCAAAGGAAATATGATCCATATAACACAAGTACCAAGTGACAATGAAATAAATGTTATTGTACTTGCTCGTCCAATGTCTGCTGATTCTTTCAATATATCTAAATGCTCCCTTCGTCTTGGTGTAAAAATTGGATCATTTAATCTTTTCAAAAATCCCTCTATATTCTTGCGTCGAAATAATAAATTAAGAAGTTTCGATGTATAACCAACGCATGTTAATGTATAGAAAGAACTATCGACAAGTTCTTTCATGTCACCACGCATAATATAAATACTTATAAATTGTGCTGGTAAAAGTCCAATATAATAAAAGTGGATTGCAAAGCCGTAAAGTTTGTAAATACATCTTAAAAATTAAAATTATCATCTAAAATATACAACGCAAGTGTAAAATTTTATAAATTATTGTTTAAAATTTTGGTAAATTTTTTTAACTGACTTTACATCACTTTAGTTATTTTCTTTTAAAAACTATGAAATATTCTTATTTTTTAAAACTAAATTTCTTTGAATATTTTTAAATTTTCAGAAACTATTTTTCAATTACATTTATTTTTAGAAACTATTCTTCAATTATTTTTATTTTCGAAAAATATTTTCATTTTCTATCATGTTCTGCGAGTGTATAACAGATTAAAAAACCTTAGAGCCGGATTCTTTACTGCCAAAGGCCAAGCGCCAAATAATTTAAAAGTTTGAAGATTTAGAGAAAATGCGTCTTCTGGTCTATAGACGTCCATTTCAGGATGGGAAATTTTCTCTCAAAAGAAGGATGTATTTTGTAACACGGGGTTGCATTAAATTCACCTAACTATGCAGGTAATAATTCGAGGCAGTTGAAAATGATTGGCATGTAAAATCCATATACTTGGTTGCAGTATCGCGAAATAATAGGCACTCGAAAGAAACGCCCCCTCCTTATTTCTCAACTCGAATTTCCTGAAACCAACTGTCTATAATTTAATAGGGTTCGAATCAATTGTAAAACGTTGTTTTGCAATATTATCCTATGTCGCTGTTACTTACAGTATTATTATCATCTCTATCTTTCATGATACTTTAAATGTCAAATGCATCAATGAGGGTAATATTCTGAATTTTTCAATTTAGTGAAAACTGTTCTTAATTTCTATTTTTCTTATTTTTCGTTTCTTATTTTTACTATTAATTACTTATTTTTACTGTTATTTATTACTCATTTTGGGGATCCCTCATTTTTATTATCACCGTCAACCTAGGGTGTTTTGTGCAGCAAATAGCTATTTTCTGACTCAACGATTCATTAAAATTGAGAATTATAAAAAGTTAATTCGACTATTGTTATATGTTGTAGACATCCTTTTAGAGTTGGCCGATGAACAAAAATTTCTCTTCTGAGTTGTAATCACTAAAAGTCGTGCACAAAATAAATAATAATTGTAAAATAAATCACTAAGATTTTACTAATATCTATAGATTTACTAAAAATTAACAACTTAAAAAAATAGGAAATTAAAATAATTCATCTCAAAAATTTTATTCATTAAAAACTTCAGATTCACAGCATAGCTCCAGTTGATGGAACAGAATTTTATTACACTGAAATAAAAATTTATTTGAACCAAATAAAGATGCGATTACTTGTTTTTTATCAAATAAATATTTATTTATATCAAATAACTATTATCTTCATAAGTTTCATTTTTACAAATAATTTGAGTTGCTTCTGACCTACAGTGAGTCAGAAGGCAAGTAAAAGTGGCTAAAAGTAAAGTTTGAAATTTTTTGTGATAGACATGTTTCCTTTTCAAATGACCAAATTCCAATCACTATATTCTGCTTCACAATACAGCCAGTCAAGGTATTTAAACACTCTTTGAAAGCAATAGTTTAAAATAGAAGTACTACTTTTGGTTTACAAGAAAAAAATATTCCCTAAAATTGTATGCGATCCACTGTTGGCCACGTATGCCGATTTCTGAACAAAAATAATTAATTTCATGATAGAAAAAATTTGCAACATTTAACCATTTCTACTTATTGCTTTTTAAATCGCTGATTATAAATCTGAAGTCAAAATTAACAAATTCAAAATAAAGGATCCATTAATTTTTTATATTTCATGTTCGCCATTTTGAATTATTTAAACTTAACTTCAGACAGGTAATCAGCGATTTCATTTTAATAATCTGTACAAGAAAAAAATTACAATTTTCTACAAATACAAATTGATTATATTTGATTTATTTGTTATAATTTTTTATTGCAAATATTCACTAATACGAAGTAAAATTACCTTAAAGAAAGTGTCAACTGACAACATAAAGAACTTTCCGACACATAATGTCATTGGAACTTGTAGATGTGACATTATAATGCAAAGCGACTTTCTGAATTTATTATACTCGGTACTGACATCCTGTCACATTCATAAACTGCATCAATTATCTCTGTTGCCTGCAACAAAAATAACTCTGCGAATGACAACATCAACAACAAATAGCGATATATAACAACAAATAATAAAATGTAAAGAATGTAAGAGAAATAAAAGTTGTGGATTTTTTCGCAGATCAGGATTTGTGTAAAAATAAAAAATACATCACTAAAAATTTATCGAAAGTCGCTAATTTAACTTTTTTTATTCATCTAGGAGGAATAAAAAAACATCCACATTAAGTTTTCAACCTGAAAATCTTGAAACAATTGTTTGATTTTTTTTTGGTTTCAGAGAAAAAAGTGTTTTTGACACTTGACGCTAACTTTAGGGACCTTTTCACTTATTATTATTTGCCTTGTTTCAAACAAAAAATAAAATTACTTGCCTTTATGGTGATGTCATTACCACGCCAGGTGTATATAAATATTTGATATAACATGCACAATTGATAAAGGAAATACGTATAAAACTGCATCGTCTTTGCCGAAAACTGCGAAAACAATAGTAAATAATAAATACAGGTATTTTAATATAACTTGGAAAATGAAAACTTTTTTAGTAGACTTCCTACAACGCATGTGTCGGCCCTCCAACGATCCACAGAAAGTCCCCGACCCCCGGCAGTACTATAGGGTCACTCACCTGCGTAATTCAGGGACTAGCCAATGCGCCCAAATTAAGTCAATAGAAAAAACTGACCCAGAAAGCAATTATAGTGGGTAGCATTAACATTTTGTTCCATTGTAAGAAACTGTATGAAAGGTGCCACCCTCGCCAAATTTGTCAGTCCAAAAATTATCGTCTAATCAGATACCTGTGTTCTTCGTGTCAGTCCTACAACCGTCACCAAGTTAACTAGTTGTGTACTTTCATAAAGTTTCTTCTTCGACTCCAGTCCAGAAAACCTCCTCAAGTACCAAGTACCTTCTTCGAGTCTCGCCTTAGTCAAATTCATTCAAGAAGATAATTTCTACTACGCGGAACATTTTTGTTTTTCTAAGGAATGTATTACCACAACATCAAATAAATAATTTGGTTACTCCAAGGCTGATGGGTGTTCAATCTAATTTGCATCGACACTTGGACTGCGGACTTTTCACTTTGACTGGCCCGAAATTAATTTGAGGGAAATCTCCTGCTGCATTCTCTATTTCCGCTAGTCAAGGTCATTTCCTCGAGCACATACTGAAGAAGGTATCGCTTGCTGGGTCTACGACTCTAATAAGAATTTTAAAAGTTAAATAACTAATACTTTAAATTTTGTCCCTATTCAAATTCTCTTTAATTCCACAAAGTTCTATTTTTGTTTCAGTGTGTCTGAAGATATCTGGATCTACTCTTTCTCTCTCATTCTAATTGTAAAGGATTCAAATAAAAACCTTAATATTTTAATTTCAATTTTCACAGTTTCTTTTTTCTTAAATCCGCCCCCGTAAGATCAGAACCTTGCACTCTGTGAATAAATCAATGAATCACCGATGCCGGCCAATTTAAAGATACAGAGTGTCCCAGTCATAGGTGTATAGTCGTGCTCAGGAATGCCTTCCGCCAGGGAAGGCTCTAATTTCACGAAGTTTGCCTACCTTCTACATAAAGAGAAAAATCAAGCGTTTGTACTATGGACATGGTCCATACTGAAAAAGCACGGCGCTGTTTATACTTGATTTGTTGAAATCTATGCTAAAAGAGTTAAGATCTATACTCTTTTAGCATAGATTTCTACAAATCGAGTATAAACAGCGTCGTGCCTTTTAAGTATGGACCATGTCCATACTACAAACGCTTTGTTGCGATTCAACAGAGTTTCAACACTCAAATATTATTTCACAAAATAAAATATCTCGAGATCAATAATATAATTTATTAAAATTTTCTTTTTTGTTTTACTTAGCAAGTTTGTAATATTTAAGATTTTAATAAATTTGTTGTGATTTAAAACAATTTTCTTCTTTTGTATAAACAATTAAATTTCAAATAATTATAAAAATCGATACATTCTTCCACACAAAATACTCGTACACATACGCACATTCACACATACATTTTTATGGACATTAATACTCCAAATATTTTTTAATAATCTTGTAAATCAAATATAAAAGGAACACAATACAATTTTTAGTGTTATCACACTAACTTACTGCGAGCCAAAATCGTTTAATTTGTTTCTGCAAGCAGCGTGAATATTGACAATATAATCTCTTACTATCGTCCACCGATATTCCAACGAGATATTGAATATCCACCTGCTTCTATTAAAACTTCGTGATTATGTCCTCAAAGACAGCAACCCAGGGATTAGAAGTCGCCGTCCTTTTTATAATTGTATGAACGAAAACCACGCTACAAATGTTAAGGACGATATTCTTAATTGATTGTCACAATTGGCTCTAATTTTATTATTTAAAATATATAAATTTATATTTGCCGGGCTCACCTTTACAAATCGTGGTGTCCCGTCACTTTATATTATATTCTTTCACTGCTATATATTTTTCGTCAGTTTTTTTATTATGTATATATTTTTGAAGTTTATCGGAGTAAGTCAAAATTAATAATGAATCGTCGAGTACAAATAATTTTCCTTCGTTCAATTTCTCCCACTCTCACTTATTTTCCTCTTTTCCATACTAACTCTCATACTCACTAACATTTACACGCACTCACACATCCATACCGCTACAGCTTGATTTTTTTCTCTGTGTATATTGTCAAAAAAATCAGCCAACGGAAAAGCAGAATTCCGTCAAATTAGTGTCTTCCCTGAGAGAAGGCATTCCTGAGCACGACTGTACATATTTATTTGTTAAAATCTATGTCAAAATTGAAGACGAAAAGTCTTTTGATGTTTTTCAAAATATTTTACTGTTTTCGAGTTATTAATAAATAAAAGCATTTAATAAAACGCAGCATTACAGTCAGGAGAAGAAGGAGTAATTAGACTATTACAGTTCCTCTCTCTCTCCTGCGCTAAATTGGATACTTTCATTTATTAATAAATAAAAAAAAAATTTTACATTTTGAAAAACTTCAAAGGACTTTTTGACTTTACTTTTGACAAAGATTTCAAGCCATAAATATGTACACTCATGACTGGGACACCTTATATATATTATAATTTAGGATATATTTATTTTCCTTCTGAGATACACCAGTATATAAGCCGGCGCACGGTGCAGAATACTCGATAGAGTTGAGGCAGGGTTACTGCATAATCCGTCATGGTAAAAAAGTGTTACGTCAGACTGAAGCAGTATTCCGGCTTTGTTATTCCATTAAGACGTGTTACAGCAGATGTAACAACTAATTTACTAACTCATTATTTGAACTTACGCCTACTTTTGGGGTCCCACAAGATTTCATTCTTAGATCTATTTTATTTGTTATACTATATAGAAGATTTAGACTTCTCTTTAAGAAAATAATGAATTTTTGTTATACCTGAAATGCTAAATTGTTTAAACCTATCAACTGTATGCAGGATTGAAAAGATCTCTAGATGGAGGAAAAATATTGCGTAGATGGGGTGATGGGATTCACTGCGACTCACGATTCCGTTTATATGTGGAACCCCAGTAACCTAACGGTAGCTTTGAGACTATAAAACGATTGTTTATGTTAGTTTTATAAAAATAACTTACCGAAGTCATTTCGTAAGTTGATGTACAAATGGTAATGCTGCTAGCGCAGACTTGTATCGCAATTCCAGTTTCGAAAAAGTTCGTCACATCCTTAATGTATCTGAATTTAATATAAGCAGAATAGTAAATAATAATTAAAAATTTAATATATAAATAAAATATAAAAAATAAGTACATTTATAACTATAATAAATTAATTTAATATAAAATTAATAATTAATTACATTTAAACTCACTTGATAGTTGCTTGATATCGTAATACACATTTAATAATTCGATCATTTAATATTTTATCTATTGTTTCTTCATTATAATAAAAAATATCTTCAAAAGTGTTCGACGAGTTTAAGGAAAATTTTGTTAATTCACAAAAATCTATTTTTAACATTTCCATTTGACACACCATTGAAACATAAAAATTTGTCGTCATAATATCAATCATGGAAACCATTGATGCTGTCGTTAATAGAAGAAATGTTTGAGAAATGTATGTATAAATATAAGCTTCATTTGTTCTCACATCATAAGGAAACCATGCAGCATAAAGAAATGATTTTTCCTGTAAAAAAATATTTTTTCTATATTATCTATTCAGTTATAGTTGACAAATTTTCATTCTTCACCTCTTTTCAATTTGTTTCTATATCTATCTTAAGCCTGACAATCTTGGCTGTACATGTATTTTACACCGAGGAATTTTTTTGTATTGTTTGATTGCTAAACTTAATACCAAATGTTAAGTCAATATAGAACGCCTTGCAATTAGTACTCGCATTTGCTTGGACCCCCCGTCATCTGTATTTTGTCACTCTTCTGTTGGGTTCCCACTTGTCTGACACAAGTGTTAAAAATTAAATAAAAAATAACAATCTGACCCCCAAAAACAATAAAAGTGGATGGTATGACGTAGTATCCCCTTGCAAAAGAAACCTATAAAAGGTGCCGACAGTCCAGGAAACGCCTTCAAGTTAGTTAGTCCAGAAGTCACTACTGAATCAACTTCAAGCCTTCTTCGTGTCAGTCCAGCGACCAAGTTAACTAATTGTGTACTGTCATCGAGTTTATTTTTCGACTCCTGTCCAGAAAATCTTTTCAAGTACCAAGTGCCTTCTTCTAGTCTTGTCCTAGTCAAATACATTCAAAGAGATAATTTCTACTGTGAGGCACATTTCTGTTTTTCTAAGGAAAACATCAACGTCAAATAAATCATTCGGTCACTCCAAGGCTGAGGGGTATTTAATCAAATTTATATCGACACCTAGGCTCTGGACCTTTCAGTTTGGTTGTCCCGAAAACTATTTCTTAGACATAACACTTTTAACAATTTAATTAATTAAATTATTTAACGAAAATAATGCTTGGGAGAAAAATTGGATCGTGCAGTCTTTGAAAAAATTCTTCAAGTTTTTTGCGTTTAAATAAAACAAATGGAAGTTTTATTACTAAACCAATACAAGTCAATGTATAGAATGAACTATCTACAAGTTCTTTTAAATCAGTTCGCACAATGTACATACTTATAAATTGTGTAGGTAGTAATCCAACATAATAAAAGTGAATTACAAAACCATAAATTTTGTAAATAAATCTGAAAATGATAATACAATTGCGATAATGAAATAATTGCTTCCTCATGGAGTCATTGTTTTATACAGAAAATTTTCAAACTAGATTATTTCACTTTTCGTCACGTTTTCAGTCCTCAGAAACTCAACAATCGCAGTTTTAAAATTTAAACCTCACATGTTCTGGTAATTAATTATAATTATTATCTGGTAATTAATTATAAGTAACATGGAATGCCAATTGAAACGCCTCAAAACCGAAGTGGTTAAGTATGCCTTTTTCACTCTTAACCTTTTATTAAACACTTTTTGGTTATGTTAGCCAAAGTTATTAACATTTTAAGAACTCAAAATTTTTAAAAAAGTTAATTTTTTACGTTTTTTAACAATAATTTAACATTTAATTGTTATTTTTTTCCTTTAGGTTTATAGTTATTTTTGAGACGCGTTTTTTGACCCCTTTATTAAACATTGTTGGAGCATATAAGCAGCGGTTTTATAATTCATTTTAATTTTACTTAATGATAAAAAATTATAGTAACAAAAATATCGAAAGATGAAAACTTTAAGGACATAACAAATTTAATATTATTCACTAATTTTTTAAGCAAAGCAAATAAAAAATAATTCTTTGTTGATGTGCAATAATTAAAGTGAAAAGTTTGTATGGTAGTAATAATGAATTGAAATTTTTTTATGAGTGCAGAACAGATTTAAAACCTTAAAGCCAAACCATTTAAGTACTCGAAGATTCACAGCAAATTTATCTTCTGGTCTATACTCTTCCATTTTTCTCTCCTTTTTGGATTAGGAAATTGTCTATCAATTTATATAAAGTTGTAATACAGGGTTTTATTTTAAATTCAGATTAGCATACAAGTAATTCGAGGTATTGTTGAAAATGATTGGCATGTTACAATGTAGGAGACGTAGATCCATAAGTTCCAGTGTCGCGAAATAATAGGTACTTGAAAGAAACGCCCCCTTATTCTAAATTCGAATTTCCTGAAATGAACTCTATAATTTAACTGTTTTCGAATCGATTCTAAAACAACCCAGTGGGCAATTTTTGTCCGAGGACAATTCGGGGACAATGATGGTAATGTCTCTGAGTCATCAAAAAGACAACTAAAAGTCGTCTAAAAGACGTTCCATGTCTGGTCCAAAAGACATAAAAAAGGACGTCTTAAAGACGTTTTTTGGACGCCTAAAAGACAGTTTAATTTTATTTTTTCTAAAATGTGCAGAAATAATGAAAAAATTCCTACGAAGCTGGGATCAAACACGGATACCTTGAGATTGAAGCACTGCGCCTTAAGCACCTTAGTCGTTCAAGACAGATATGAAGCTCTACAAAGTTAACGATCTCACTTGTGAATGAAATGAATTTAACTTAGAAAAATTCCAATGAATTTTACATTCATGAATTCCTAAGTCCAAGTTGAACTTAGCAAATAATATTTCCTATTTATGAAAATTTTTCAATTTTCAAAAGTTGAATAAAAAAGACGTCTATAAGACATCTAATGGCCAAGACATAGAACATTTATAGGACGTACAAGTCCAAAAGACGTCCGCAAAAAGACATCCTTAGGATGTCTTTTGTACAAGTGGGGAAATGTTACTTCGTATTTTAACATTGAAAGAAAAGCCACATTATTGTGTCTTTATAACCAGTTTGTAAAGTAACTGCTATATGATATGATCAATCAATGGCCAGAACTTAAATCAAGAATTCTTTTATTGATTATTATTTTTCACAAGGAAAGGGCTACACTCTATTTGTCATAAAATTCTCATGTTTTTTCTCCTTAATTTTGTTTGTCCCACTGTAAGTAGAAACAAACCAACCGTCAATAAATTTTAAGGAGATATTACACAGAAACAAATTTATGAACAAAATATCTTACCTGTATAACAAGTTGCTTACGTGCCAAGAAGATTTCTCTTTTACTAAAAAGTGTATCAAAAATAGAGCCCCGTAGAATTGAAAACGGTCCAAATATTTTATAAGCAGAACTTAAGACTGACTTGTAAGGTAGATAACAAACTTTAGACTGAAGGACTGCATGAGATTGGAACAAGACTGACTTTTCCTACAGAACAGACCCCTTGATTGATTGAAGGCACATGGTGCAAAGGAGGCACATGTCAGAATTACATTGATTTTAGGTATAAAAGTAAAATGCTCTTAATAATAATATAATTAATAATTACAATATAATTATTAACTTATTTATAAAACACGTTGTTTGTAGTTTTCATTATATTTATAACCCTGGTTAAAAAACCGAACAGATTTCGAACTAATCCGAAATTTTTCCGAAACAATGCGGTTTATGGTCAGGTTTTTGTCACCCGAAATTAATCCGGAAAAATCCAAACTCTATACGGTTTGTGAATAACTAGTGAATCCGGAGTTGGTCCGATGATGTCCGAAATTAATCAGTTAATTTTAACTAGTGAATCCAGAATAAGTCTGAAGCAATCAAAAATTAGTCCGGACAATTTAGTAAATGTTTATAAAAAAATAATTATACAAGTTACACATATTAATTATTATTACTTTATGGTACATTCAACATATTTTTCGATTTACCTATCGCAATTTTATTTACATTAACTTAAAATTTCTAACGCTTGGGGATTCGAACCTGCACCTATCTAACATTATATCGCACCGAAATCGAATACACTAACCACTATACCACGCTCGCATGGGAGTTCAAATTCATAATAGAATTTATAAAGTGCCACGAAAAGAAATGACAAGAAACTAACACATAGTCAGTGTTAATTTTAATATTGAAACAAGATAACTAATAATATTAGTAAATTTGTAAAAACAAATTGACTGCAGAATTAAATATTTCATTTACCATAAGTAAATACGCTGAATAAAAAGTAGGACCGATTTCGGACTAATCCGGAATTTGTCCGCAACAGTAAGGTTTATTGTGGAGTTTTTTCACCATGAATTAAGTTTGAAATCAATACCGTTTTTTATCACTATTGAATCCGTAATTAGTCCGGTTTAGTCTGCAGTTAGTCAGATCATATGCAACTAGTAAATGCAGAAGTAATCCGGTTGGTTTAACCAGTGAATTCGCAGCTAATCCGAAACAGTCTGCTTATGGACAGGTTTTTGTTCTAAAATCATTCCGGATTAAGTCTTTGAATTGGATTGAATATGGATTGTATTGAACTGTCTGTGGATTGTATATATGTTACGGGCAATGTTCAAGAGCCGGGCAATGTCCGACAATGCCCGGGCACTGTCGACATTGCCCACTGTCACTGGGCATTGTCGACATTGCCCTGGTTTTTTTCGGGCAATGTTAGAAAATATCCATATTACTCGGTTGTACCGGGCAATGTCGACATTGCCCGGTCCGACTTGGGCAATGTCTATCTAACGTATAATATCATAATGTAAACAAGGTTTATATTCTTAAGTTTTCAATCAACTTTCGAAGGTAAATAACTCATTAATATAAACGAAATTTATACTGATTAGTTTGCATTTTGCTGTGAGTAGTTATCGACGTGCGCGATCATGGAAATTTCAAATGAAAAACTTCGTTTTGAAAATTATTTAAAAGAAGTACATTGTAAAAAACGCGCTGATAATAGTTTTGGCCTTTCTTCGGTGGCATATGATGAGTGTGTACAAAAAGTAGAACTTTTAAAATCAAAAATCAAAAAGGATTCGAGTGATTTTAGATATTTACGAAGATTTGACACAATTGCCGTTAATAATCAACGGAAATTAATAAAACCAATTATTGCGATGGAAAATGTTTTAGCTTTGCAAATCTCATTGAGAGAAGCTGCTTCCAAGAAGAGCATATTTGGTGTTCAGGGTTACGAGAGGTGTAATTGTAAAACGGGATGTGCCCAAAACAAGTGCAAATGCTTTAGAAATAACAAACTATGTAATTCTAAGTGTCACAGTAGTTTGTCCTGCACAAACAAATAAGTATAAAAATTTTTGTTCCTCATCAAATAAAAAATCTTGAATTAAATCAAACTCATTTGTCATAATTTCTACTGATATCGACATTGCCCAAATGCCCGGGCAATTTCGAGTGAGCGCCTCTGGGCCACTCACTGCTACCCGACTGGTACTAGCGCGTGTCATCCGAGCGTCCGACCGGTTCTTGAATTGGGAGCCTCAATTGTCTGCAACAATCCGGATTTAATCCAATTAAAAGGCATAATCCGAAACAAATATGAAATAATCCGAAATCTCTACGCAAAGAATCCGACATTAGTCCGATTCAATTCGGAATTATTGTGGTAAAATCATATTCCGAAACAAATACGCAACAATCCGAAATTAGGACCATTAAGAAACTCATCTAAAATAAATACAGAATAATCCGAAATCAATATGTAAAGAATACGAAATCAGCCCGCAATAATAAGAATTTAATCCAGTTAAAATATTTAATAGGAAACAAGTATGGAACAATTCAAAATCTGTATGCAAAGAATCCGGTAATAGTCAGCGGCAATCCGATCAAAACACCCCAGTCCGAAAATAAGTCTTATTTTATTAAAAGAATTTGTAATTATATACAATCCACAGACGGTTTGAGACAGTCATATTCAATCCAATTCAAAGACTCAATCCGGAATGATTTTGGTATAATATTGAATTTGTATATTAAAAACAATTTGTATTAAAACCAGATAAATTCAAACTGTAATTATAATTTCGTATGACAAAAACCTGACCAAAACCAGATTTATTCCGGATTTAATTGTAATAATTTTTGCAGTCAATTTGATTTTACACTAGTATTATTAGTTATCTTTTTTAATATTATAATTAACACTGATGTGTTAGTTTTTTGGCATTTCTTTTCGTGGCACTTGATAAATTCTATTATGAATTTGAACTCCCATGCGAGAGTGGTATAGTGTATTCGATTTCGGTGCGATATAATGTTAGATAGGTGTAGGTTCGAATCCCAAAGCGTTAGAAATTTTAAGTTAATGTAAATAAAATTGCGATAGATAAATCGAAAAATATGTTGAATGTACCATAAAGTAATAATAATTAATATGTGTAACTTGTATAATTATTTTTTATTAGCATTCACTAAATTGTCTGGACTAATTTTTGACTGTTTCGGACTAATTCCGGATTCACTAGTTAAAATTAAATGATTAATTTCGGACTTCATCGGACCAACTCAGGTTTCACTAGTTGTTCACAAACCGTATAGAATTCGGATTTTTCCAGATTAATTTCGGGTGACAAAAACCTGACCATAAACCGCATTGTTTCGGACAAATTTCGGATTTGTCCAAAATCTGTCCGGTTTTTTGACCAGGGAGTGTTCATGAAATGAACACAAAGAGAATTGTTAAAACATACAACTTTGCAGCGGTTTTTTATATTACTTACTGTTAAAAAATCTGTCAATTCACGAAAATCAAGTTTTAAAATTTATAAATTGTTTAATTATTAGTAATAAATAGTCTTATAAAATATTACTTAGGGGAGACTGGGACTTAACCAGACGGATTTGGTCTTTGACCAGAAAACTCATACAAAAAAATGTTTTTTGCTAAAGAGTAATTAATATATACGGTTTTGAAGCTTGTTCCCTCACCTACAAATCGCAATTGTTCGATTTTGAAAAACTACAGTAACTTTGGTGATATATTGCTTCGAAGGTGACTACGTCAAAAAACGAAGATCTCAAAACTGGTGGGACTAAACCGGACACCATATGGGGCTAAATCAGACACCGCTAAATAATTAAAGAATGAGACACAAATTTTCGTTTTTATGTAGAAAATATAAATCAATTTTTTGTTTATTTATTTGTAGGTAGTTCTATACAAAGAATATAATATAAATTATAAAATAGGTAATTAATATAGTATGAATTATAGTTTTCAGATTTGCTTGTTTACAGCAGCTCGCTTGCTAATTCATGTTTTAAAATAAATTCTTTATTTATTTATTTATGAAGTGGTTCTATCCAAAGAATATAATATAAAATAGTTAATTAATATAAAATAAATTATAGTATTCGCAGGCTTGGTTGTTGTTTATCACAGCGTTCGGTTTAGCCCCACACCGTCATTTAATAATTAACCTGCAATATATTTTTTCTTCTTAACGTTTTTCATTAAACTTTTTTTCTACTAAACTCAGTACACCTTCAATTAAAAAAAAAATTCCCATATAATATTATTTGAAATTCTTCACGGTTTTGGAAATATTTGACTTGTCCGTTTTAGTCCCAGTCTCCCCTAATATTTATTAATAGAAGTTATTTAATTGAATTATTTAAAAGAAGTTATTATTTGCTTTCATTACTTATTCTGTTGATAATAATTCTAATATAATGTATTTTCTTTTCCTTTTGTTTCAGGTGAGTTAAACAACATATATGTTTCCTGTCGAGTTTATTTTGTAAGTGTTAAATAAATGTATCGAAATATATAAAATTATATTATATTTTTAGTAAATTATAATTTTCAAAAGCAGAAGCGTGAATATAATTGAGGGCTCGGATCGAAGAACCGACGCTTCGCAATGTTCTGTGCGTTCACAAGCGTCGGTTCTTCGATCCGAGCCCTCAATTTCATATAATCTAATAAATAAATGGAACTTTTTATTACACAGAAAAGAAAAGTTTGTTACCTGTTTCGAATCAACCAATGGAAAAATAATCCAAGAAGTACAAGTGGCAAGTACAAGAGATATATAAATCGATGTATTTGTCCTTGCCGATATTGTATATTTATTCAACACGTCCAAATGTTTCTTTCGTTTAGGAAAAAATATTGGATTCTTCAATCTATCGAAAAATTCCTCGAGTATATTGCGTTGCAATATAAATACAATAAGTTTTAATGCATAACCAATGCAAGTCAATGTAAAGAAAGAATTATCCACAAGTTCCTTCATGTCGCCTCGCATTATGTATGTTTTTAGTTTTTATAATGATGATATTCCCTTCAAAAATTTGTTTTATATTAGAAGTAAGTAGAAATTTTGATCCGTGGAAGGTAAAAGTATGGACATATTCGTTTTATGTCATATTTTTTATTAATGTCAAATAATTAAAATGATAGCGACGTTTCGATGACTTAGTTTGTCATCATCATCAGGCTAAGCCTAAATAAATAAACAATAAATTTACACCATAAATAAAGACGAAAAATAAGGACGAAAAGAAAAAAATTATTTAAAAGTTATAAATTTAAAAAGAAATTATTTATCACATCACAAAAACACGTTACATATTAAATTCGCACAGTTATAACTGGCACGTCGAGTTTTGGAAAGCGTTTCGTCAAGACTAAAATCGTTTTACAGAAAAATAGAACTCTAGATAAATTGGAGGAGTCAATGAACTGAGATGTAAACAGCACGTGGCGATGACAAGATGACAATATTTTGAAAAAGAAATCAATCATGAATTTAATTTGCTTATTAGGGGAATATAAAATTATTTAGGTATAAAATATCCTCCTTTTTATTAATTGTATGTTTGTTAATTCTTATGTGCAGCATTTCAGAAAAACATCGTTTATTGAAATTTGGTTCACGATCAAGAATTTTTGCATATTCCCAGTCAAACTCATGATTGAATTCAGATTGATGCGCTTTGACTACAGTTTTTGTGTAGTTTTTATTATTTTTGTGTTCGTTAATTCGTGTTTTTAGAGAACGTTTTGATTCGCCAATATAATTCAACACTGTTACTAATTCAATTGGTAAACAAATCCGCACTATTTCATTAGTAGAAAACTACTAATTCATATTTAGAGAGTAAATTTCTAGTAAATTTTTAGAGAAAATATTAAATTTTTAATAAAGTTTTAGTACATTTCAATAAATCTTTTAGAAATTTGGTAAAATATTAGTAAATCTAGTGAATGTTTAGTATGAATCTTTTAAAAATAAACTGCTTGTTAATTTTTAGGTAATTTAGTAAAATATTTAACAATATAGGTTAAAATCCCCGTACAGGATCCTTAAAGGATCCTCTCGGGATCCTGTGCAGGTCCTGTGCAGGATCCCGAGCGGATCCCGTACCCGTCCTGTACAGGATCCCGACCGGATCCCGTGCAGGAAATTGGAACAGGGTTCCTGTGCAGGTTCCGATGCAGGAACCTTAGCTATCAAAGGTTCCTGTAAAGGTTCCTGTACAGAAACACTTGCAGGATCATGTACAGGAAACTTTGTGAAGGTTCCTGCACAGGAACCTTTACAGTTTTGTAAACTGCAGGTACTTAAGTATAAAGGATCCTGTAAGGAACCCGTAAAGGATCCTACACAGTTTCCTCAATTAATTTATTTATATTTTTAACTCCTGCGCAGTAGTTTTCTATGAGTTTCTCGAATGCGCAATACATTTTTCTGTCCAACATTGTTATACGAGCCTAACATATTGAAATATGAAGTCTATGTATGTCAAATGTTGCTTAACCCTTTAAGGACCAAATGTACAAAAATTGTATCCGAACTTTGGGAGCAATTTTTGGTATGAAAACGGATTGCTAAAAATTTTGCAATAGACATTTCTTAAAGCTCAGGAACCGCTCTTTCGAATGCTGCAATAACAAATATTGAAAATTTATAAATAAACAAATTACATACAATTATTTAAAAAAAACACAATTTTGTAAAGATTTTTTTTTGAAAATAAAATTTTTTTTATTATTTATGGCGAAGGAATACGTCTCAAAGGTAAAAATATCGCGTCAAAAATGTCTAACCAAAAAAGTTGTAAAATAAAAATTTGAAAAAAACAAAATGGCGGATCAAAAATGGCGTTCAAAGTTGACTTTTTAGTAAATAATATACAGCAAGTGCACATTTTTTTAAAAACCTCACAGATTCGCTTGAAACTGGTTACTCGGGGGTTTTTGGGGTCGCTGATTACAAATATGATAATAGTTTTTCAAGAATCAAAATGGCGAATCTAATATGGCGGACACTTTTTTCAAAATTTCATCGGATTCACTTGAAACTGATTACTCGGGTGTTTTTAAGGTCGCTGATTACGAATATGATAATAGTTTTCAAAAATTCAAAATAGCGAATCCAATATGGGGGACACTTTTCAAAACTTCACCGGATTCGCTTAAGAGGTTATGCCACTCTAGGATTTAAAAAAATCGTTTTTTTTTGCATTAAATAGTCCCTTAGGGTATCAGAAATAACATATCGTAGTATTACGGCTAGGGAAAATCTCTAAGTAATTTATTTTCGTAGTTTCGTATTTTCGTAGCGGCGAGGTCCTTTTGTTAACGCGCTACGGGAGGTGATCTTTGAAGGATCTAGAGCAGGTATAAGGCTACTTTTCTGTCTAAACTATAGTCTATTCTACACAATTTGGCTTCACAAACAGTATGCAAGCGTCTGTTTCAGTCAGTTAGGCATAGCCAAGCATGTGAAGAGCATATTAACTTTAAACTTTAAACGCGATTATCTGAAAACTACATTTTTCGAGTTGGGCGCACTAACAACTCGTACAATTTTCAACCGATAAAGTTCAAACTTCACAAACATCTTTGAAAATATATTTTTTAAGGCATCACGTAGGATTTTTTTTTATTTTGTATTGTTCATTTGTTATTAACAATTTACTGACGATTTTTTGGTAGAATTTAGAAAGGTTAACTTTAGAAGTGCGCCTGACCATAAATCAATATATCGAAAAAATCCTACGTGTTGCTTTAGCTATTGTAATGTACAATAAATAAAAAATTATATACTCAAGATATTTCAAAATTTACGGGAACAGTTGGTGCGGCCACGGACCTATTTTTCGGTTTCTAGAGTGGCATAACCCCTTAAAACTGGTTACTCAGGGGTTTTTGGGGTCGCTGATTACGAATATGATAATAGTTTTTAAAAATTCAAAATGGCGAATCCAATATGACGGATACTTTTTTTAAAACTTCATCGGATTCACTTGAAACTAATTACTCGGGTGTTCTTGGGATCTCTAATTACGAATATGATAGTAGTTTTCAAAAATTTTAAATGGCGATTCAATATGGCGGATACTTTTTCTAAAACTTCATCGGATTCACTTAAAAATAATTACTCGGGGGTTCTTGGGATTTCTAATTACGAATATGATAGTAGTTTTCAAAAAATAAAAATTTCGGAGCATATACATTAATTTTTGTAATATTTTACAGTAGTAATTTTAGAATTGCGTTAACTTTATTTTGTTGTAAAATATTTCAATTTTTATTAATTAATTAATTAATAATTCGAAAAAAAGCGTTTTTTTCGTTTTAGATATTGAAAGTACACATCTTAAGCTTTCTTTTGGTACAAGAAAAAGAAAAAAAGGGTCCTTTTTGAAAGAAAAATAAAAAAAATATTATACTAAAAAAAATATAGGTGTATATTACGTGGTAGTTAATTAGTCATACATATTACTAAATACTGTGAAAATATTAGCCCGATCCAACAACTTGCAATTTTGACTTTGGTACACTCGAGAAAATTTGCCCCTTAAACATAATTAATCTTTATTTATGAGGCTTCAAAGACAGACAAAACTAGATAATAACAAAGAACAGTTCCTATTAGTATTATTATTATAACAAAGAAATAGTTATGATTAGTATTATTATTATTAAGTTTAATATTATTAACCAGTTTTAAGCGATAATCCGGTGAAGTTTTAAAAAATGTCCGCCATATTGGATTCGCCATTTTGAATTTTTAAAAACTATTATCATATTCGTAATCAGCGACCCCAAAAACCCCCGAGTAACCAGTTTTAAGTGAATCCGGTAAAGTTTTGAAAAGTGTCCGCCATATTGGATTCGCCATTTTGAATTTTTGAAAACTACTATCATATTCGTAATTAGAGACCCCAAGAACCCCCGAATAACCAGTTTCAAGCGAATCCGATGAAATTTTGAAAAAAATGTCCGCCATATTGGATTCGCCATTTTGAATTTTTAAAAACTATTATCATATTCGTAATCAGCGACCCCAAAAACCCCCGAATAACCGGTTTCAAGCGAATCCGATGAAATTTTGAAAAAAATGTCCGCCATATTGGATTTGCCATTTTGAATTTTTAAAAATTATTATCATATTCGTAATCAGCGACCCCAAAAACCCCCGAGTAACCAGTTTTAAGCGAATCCGGTGAAGTTTTGAAGTGTCCCCCATATTGGATTCGCTATTTTGAATTTTTGAAAACTATTATCATATTCGTAATCAGCGACCTTAAAAACACCCGAGTAACCAGTTTCAAGCGAATCCGATGAAATTTTGAAAAAAATGTCCGCAATATTGGATTCGCCATTTTGAATTTTTAAAAACTATTATCATATTCGTAATCAGCGACCCCAAAAACCCCTGAATAACCGGTTTCAAGCGAATCCGATGAAATTTTGAAAAAAATGTCCGCCATATTGGATTTGCCATTTTGAATTTTTAAAAACTATTATCATATTCGTAAACAGCGACCCCAAAAACCCCCGAGTAACCAGTTTTAAGCGAATCCGGTGAAGTTTTGAAAAGTGTCCCCCATATTGGATTCGCTATTTTGAATTTTTGAAAACTATTATCATATTCGTAATCAGCGACCTTAAAAACACCCGAGTAACCAGTTTCAAGCGAATCCGATGAAATTTTGAAAAAAATGTCCGCCATATTGGATTCGCCATTTTGAATTTTTAAAAACTATTATCATATTTGTAATCAGCGACCCCAAAAACCCCCGAGTAACCAGTTTCAAGCGAATCTGTGAGGTTTTTAAAAAAATGTGCACTTGCTGTATATTATTTATTAAAAAGTCAACTTTGAACGCCATTTTGTTTTTTTCAAATTTTTAATTTACAACATTTTAGGTTAGACATTTTTGACGCGATATTTTTACCTTTGAGACGTATTCCTTCGCCATAAATAATAAAAAAAATTTTATTTTCAAAAAAAAATCTTTACAA